TAAATAAATATTAGAAGATAATGCCGATTTATTAGTCAAATTTAAGTTTTAACGTGATTAAAGACAATATCCTTAGTCCATGCCTTAAGGAGATGATAGAAAATTCCGTACTTAAATTAACACTCCATGAACAAAAATGCAAAAACGGGCTTCCTGCCTGTTCTAACTTAACCACTTATTATTATACAACCTTGTCTGCCAGTTCAATAAAATAAATTAACAACGATATAATAAAATCTTTTAGTTTATAATCATATTATGTCATTAAATAAATAAATGCAAGCAATATTACTAATAAACCCCTAAATAGAAAAAATTAATCATACATAATTGAAAGCTTACAATGCCACATTTCAAAAATAAACATAGAAGGCCGTTGTCAGAAAGGCACTTCTTAACCCTTCAGAGTTTTCGTTGAAACAATGAATCGTAAAAACTACTCATGTCTTCAGCTGAAAATAAATCACCAAAACCAAAACTAATAAAAGAAACTATTATTTGAGAATTGGAAGTATGAAGGCTAGCTTTGTTTCCATCAGATATACAGTTATGTCTCTTGAAACTATCTTCCTCTATGTGCCCCTTTATTTAAAAAATTGGAGATCTAGGCACCCTAACCTGCACCAGAACAAATGCCGCTTCTCACCACTAAATGGCCAAAGTCCACGCTTCAAGATCCAACCCTTTCAAAATCTCAAGCCACAGCTTTCTGTTTTGTTTTCTGTTTTTTAGCATCCAATGAAGTAAGGCCTGTTCCCAATCCAACAGGCGCTTGATCTCCTTGCTTAGTTGTTGATTGCTCTTGCTTGGTGTTGCCCATACCATCTTGAGGATGGCCATTCACTTCCTTCATCTCTCCAGCTTCCTTACTGTTAACTGTATCTGGGCTCATTTCTGAATTGATTATGTTAAGAAGTTGAGTTAATTGTGGCAAAGTTTGGCTTGGAACACCATGTGGGCGAATCAAGAGGCCCTTGGCAGCTGCCTTTTTCCTAACTTCAGCTGCTGCACGGGCTGCTCTTTCGTCAAACCCTCGACCCCGTGGAAGAGACTCACCCAACATTGTTGCATTAAGTGACTTGTTGACAGAACTACTGGAACTACCAGATACCCCAGCTGCGGCAGCAGCCTGAAATGCATGTATCAAGTCAGGACGGGCCTGCCACACAAATTCATGAGTTGTGTGAATAACTGAGGTTGAAGAACCTAGTCCTCAAACAGAGTAATCAAATTAAAGTAACTATAGCAATTTTCTCAAATTTAAGTAATATAGTTTATATCTAAATTCAGCCCCCAGATCTAAAATTTTCAAATAAATGTCTCTTTGCTGTTTTTTTTTATTTTTATTATTATTATTATTTTTTTCCAAACAAGGGCTTCATTAAACCTAATCACAGGTCTCAAAATTTTGTAATCAGTCTAACAAAATTAGACAACCAACAGAAAGAAAATCAAATCAAATGACAGATCTCCACAATCCAAGTCTTGCTCACACTAGTAGAGATTTATATTCAGCACACAAAGAAGGGATGATAACACACCTGGAATGTTAATGCCAGCTATATATACTTTCTAGACCATTTTTTCTATGAGTAGGTTAGAATGATATTTTCAAAAGCTCATTAATTATAGGGACATAAAAGCAAAAGTGAAACATTTTAGGGTGTGGCAAGAACCCCACCCTACACACAAGCTGATTAAAAATACCTTCAAGATATCGATAGCCTTTGAAGCATTCAAAGCCTGACCTTTCTGCTTCTGAGCATTCATCTGTGAATATCAAATTCATAGACTCAGGAAAAAACAGTGTACTGAAAGAGCAGATTTATTACAAATATTGACCATTTTTTTAATGCAACACCATTCATTTACCTGAAGTTCACGCATCTTAAATGTGTTCAACCAATTCTGGGAGTCTCGCGTTCTTGAATCCTCCTCTCCAAGCTGTTTTACTAGTATGTCATATGTTTTCTTCTCATGCTGCCAGAACCAAAGAGTACTAACCAATCAATCATAATACTATATTACAAAGGAATCATAATAAGGGACATCATTCTTGAAAAGAAACGTACCTGGTGAGAAAGCTTGAAAGCACCCATACAATTGAATGCTATTGCAAGTGCATGATAACATACAGCAGTTTGAATATGTTCCTCGCCTAGAAGTCTCTCATTTTTTTTCAAGGCCTCTTGCAGATAGCGGAGTGCAGTGTTCATCTTTCCAATGTCTTGGTACATCATTGCAACATTTATAAAAGTGGCAGCTACATCAGGATGGTCTGAGCCAGATGAGAGACTTAGCAAGAGCAATGCCCTGGACATGTGCCGCAATGCTAGCTCTGTCTGGTTTAGACCATGGTAGAAAAGGGCCATATTGCCATAACTGCAATGAGAAAATTTCAATGAATTTCATTAGACTCATATATAAGGTAAGAGAGCTTGAAAGGAGTCTTATTTGGCATTTTTCAAAGACGTTCCAACACTTTTAGAAATCCAAATGTAACACAGATCACAAAACCAATAAAAGAAATACGTGACTCAAAATGAGGTTCTCAGTAGTTTTACTACAGCTTGTATGCTAAAATGAGATTATTAGATATAAAAGAGTATAGAGCGAAAAAACTCATGCCTGTGAGCAGTATCAGGGTGGTCCAAGCCCAAGCAACGTTCATTTATTATTAGTTCCTTGTGCTGTTGCATTATGGCCCCAGCCATGTCCCCTGCATGATACAAAACCATGGCAAGGTACCTGAAAATTTCAAAGCAAATAACTATCAAAATGAGTTCGAACTTGAAGATCAAATAGTGAGAGCGTTAAAATCTAGATTGAAAAATATTATGCATAGAGCACAAATACAACCATGAATACTGCTACACATACATCCAGAAAGGCTAAGCCAAAACATACATACACACAACCTATTAGATACTGTAACTTGAATATTATCTCATCGGTTGTTAGTATGCATGCTCTTACAGTTCACTTAGATGACATAAAACAAAATTTTGAAAAGGATCTTAGTTGTGAAAACTACCGGCAGCAATTCGCCACCTCTCGGTGCATTGGACCTGTCACCTGAAATCCATCAACCATTGTGAAAATATGCCCCCAAGATTTTCCAACAGAATGAAACTGTGACAATAAAATAACTTACCTGTTGAAGTATTGAAAATGCCTCTGAAAATAATGTGTATGCTTCACTAAGCATGCCCTGAAGCAAAGATTGTAACAGCTTAAGGGTTCACTCAAATGGAACAAGTATTACACATACACAAGAATCTGCAAAATATTTTACTAAATTCTAATAATATCATTGAGAATGAGACAGTAAATATGTTATAATCGAAAGTGTATTCAGAATTCACTAATGAATAAAAAAAAAAAAAAACAAAATAGTGCTTACTTCAGCCAATTGAACCTTCCCCATCTCCACCAGATCTTTAGCCTCTGAACATACAGGAACTGAATGCTTCACGACAGGTTGGAGATCCAAGATATCTGATGTTTGGAAAGGTGTTGCAGCATTAAAATCATACTTGCGGGCAGCAATTGTTATTCCCACCTGTAAAGAGAACCACTTTTAAGTAACCTGTGGATGCTTTTCAAAGCTTTCTACCATATTAGAGACAATAAGTCAAACACTTAATTACCTTTTGACAAAGGTTACGCAAAACAGACATTTTCTTTGCTCGTGATCTTGCACCATCTGCCAACTCAAACTACAAAAAGGGAAAAAGAGGGAACTTCAGGTAAAAAAATATATTGCCAACAAAATTATGCACTTACATTCAATGACCTCGAAGACAACCAGATTGCACAACATTATCATCTATTGAGACAACAATCTACTTATGGGATCTTAAACTGATAGAAAACTTCAACCAAGCATCAATTTGGGTGCAACTCATTGAAAGTCCAGCAAGATATAGTTTTCTTAAACAAATTATTCAATTTCCAATCTACACCTACTGTCCATTGAAGGGCATCTACACAAATTAATAAAAAAATTAAAAGCTGATACCTCATATTTGACTTTTGAAAATTCCTGAATGTCAGACCATAGAGTTTCTGAGCTAATATTCATATATGAGGAAGTATTTTTTCTTGAGGATGCTCTTCCCTTCCACTTGGCATGTCCCTTTGATGATCTGCCTGAAGATTGATGAACTGCTTGGTCCTGCAGACATTTTAAAATTAATGCATATCAAGTAGCATGTTATAGACTATCTTATCTAATCTTAGCACCAATACAAGTGGAGAAGTGTAAGAGAGATTTATAAAAAGCAATGGATTACAACAACCTAGTTTCTAGGACAATTATTCTTTCACACAGGAATTCAAGTCTTTAACACAACATTGATTAGCAGTTACGCAACAATGGCACCTAGAGCTTAGGACATAAAATAGTATATGTATTCATCATATTACACATACTTTTTTTGGGGTTTTAGGCTGCATGGTGGAAGTAGTTCTCACACCAACAGCTTGGCCATTCCCAAAGAAACAGTTGAAAAAATGTGAGATTGTGGGCCCAATATCATGATCTTCTGTGTCTCTCAAGACATCCTGCAATACAAGAGATAGATGCAAGAAAGTTAACTACAGTTACAGTACAGACAGAAATGTTTTAACCAACTTTTCCAGCCTTTTTTGGGTTTTTTTTTTTTTTTTAAAGTTTTGGGCGAGGGGGTGGGGGGGGGAGGAACTTCCCAGCACACAAGTGCAAAACTAGTAAATTAATAAATGTAGAACAGGCATCAGTAGTATGACTTCAGAGGTGTCACCAGTGTGCGCTTCACAATCCACATATACATGTCCAGAAACGCAAGTCACAAGAATATCGGGTGCATTAAAAATTCAATCTGAACCTACTGAAGATATATCAATTTGAAAAGAGAAGAAAGCTGTTGACAGGTCAGCCTACAGGAAAGTATTTCAAAACTGTCACATAGAGACACTACTAGAATTCCAAATAAGCTGAGAGAGTATCCTAAGACATTTGATTCATAACAGACACAATATCAAAGAGCATCCAAGGGTAACCTCTACCATCCCACTATATAATTTCCCTGTCATATTTTATTTTCACATCCTAGAAATAAAAGTTCTCAAAATTAAAAAAGAATAGTGCAGAAAGAATACCCAAGAAAATCAAGAAATACAGACTTATTTTTAAAGAGAGACATCCAATTGAATAAATAAATGCCAATTACCTTAAGGATGTGCTTTGCAGATCGAACTACAATCTCATTAGTACAAAGATCCCATAGATGAGGTAGGTGTTTGGTTCCATTAGCAACCTGGTAAAATTATGTGTATCAGAAGATGACAATTGACCAATAAATAAATGGAAAATGAATTAAGTTTGAATGCAGGATGTGCTGCAGTAATTGTTAGAGCAAAATTTTGAAATTGGTAAAGCATTAGAGCAACTGCAGAAACACATAAACCTTACTTTTCCAATATACCGAACATTAATTCCATGAGCATGAAGTGCTTCAGTCAATGTCTGACCATCCATTGGTGAAACTTCCAGTGTGCAAAGATCTTGTATAAATTTTGGGAGAACTATATCTACAAGATATGCACTAGCCTTTCTCACATTTTCTTCATCACCTGCTATCTCCTAATGAATACAAAGGAAAAGATCAATGATGATAATTTCACTAGTATTGATTAGAAAGATGTGGAAGCAATAGAAAACTCACCTCTTGACTCCCAGCAAGTTTGAATTCAGTGAAAACATTCGGATTAAAAAGGATTTCCTCAAATGATTGAGTAGATGACAAACCACATTCTTCTGGATTCATATTCACTTTTCCTCCATTTGTTACATCCTATGGACCCCACAGAAGACAAACCATTAGGTACATGAAAGTAGATACACACATCTTACAAGTTACAACCTTCAGACCAGAAACTCCTATAAGCTCTTAAAGTTTTGACAAAAGAACCAACAGAGATGATGTGAAGGATATAAGTTATTGACATTAATAATTATAAACACAATCCAAGTACAATCAAGTATCAGTACAGCAAGCATAAAAACTTCGTTTAAAATGTACCAATCTTTTAGAGGATCAGCAAATATGCGTCTTAGGAGAGGGTTACCTGATGACCATATGAATTTGCAGCCACATTGGCCTCAGTCCTAGTTGGCTCTTCAACACTAGCACCCTTTGGAGACTTTTCAGACACATTAGCCTCTCCCACAGGTTTAGGCTTTCCATTTGCTCTCTCTGCACCTTGAGCCTTCTCCAATTAAGCAAAAAAAGGCAATGTTACAGTTAGAAATGAAAAATAACAAACAAATTTTAAAAACGATTTTATTTTAATCATATACCTGACAAAAGGCAGCAATTAGCTCTGGTCTCAAAATACAAAACCGAGATCCAGGGCCAGTATAATTTGCATCACGAGGGGTCACTCTCATTAAATCCAGAAGATAATGCCTGATTGAAAAATTAATTTTGAGGAAATAATAAATGTGAATAGAAAAATACTATCCATTAAATCCAGATTTTAAAAAGATGCTATTTTCTAACTCCATCCAATAAAACTTGCTAGATAAGAGAAAAACTCAATTACCTGTCATCACTACCAACAATTCCCTTGCATTCCACTGGTGCAGCCAACTTAAAAACGTTTCCAGATCCATCAAAGACAGTGTGTTCCTTCAAATGAAGGCGCTTGGCAGCCTCCAATACCTAAAGAAACATAGGGGTTAAGCACCCAAGGAGAAGGAAATCAATTTAACTTAAAGCACCTAAGAATCCAGTAAAAGAAACTAGACTTGAGATGTCATTAATAATCTTAAACTTGAAATGTTTGACAGTGACACCACAGATGAAATAGTGCGTCAATGTTGTGAGAAAATAGCACACATACGCACATGATTATTCAAACACGTGAAAATTAGAGCAACCAGATATAAGTTGGTAGCATTCATTCTTATTTTCTCACCTTAGAGTGAAAATCCTCATTCCAGCATATTTTCTTGCCATTGTCAACAGAACCATACAAGAGAGAGTCTGATTTATCCCCTTGAAGAATGCCGGGTAAGACACTCTACAAAAGTGTGGCAGATTGAATTTAACAGAAAATCTAAAGCAGACAAGCAATAAAATGTTTAATTAAAAATAGAGAAAGGTAAGAGAGAATTAGTAGAGAGGAAAACCACACATTCCAACATCAACTTCTCATAAAATTGCAAAAGGACTGACATGTACCTGAGCTACCACTCTATGACCCCTATAATCTATTATGGCCATAGCAAGATTATACAGTCCAGGTATATCAGCTTCCTGGTAGGCTTTGGTGCCTTTCAAATCATTATTTGCAGAAGCATATGTAGCCTGCTCACTCTCCGCCAATGGAGTCTCAGAAGACCCTGGAGATGATTCCATAACACTATCACCAACTACATTCAATCCACAAAATTTCTTCTCACTTGGAACTACACCATCTCCATGCAGTATTTCATTAGAGAGCTTTTCAGATGAACCACGTGAAGCATTTCTGCCCTGAATGTTAGAGTTACTATCTGATGCATGTTTTCTGGATACTTGTTCAAGGTCAGCATCCACAGCAAAGCTAAAGAAAATATTATTATGAACATACCTAAAATCAAAAAGAAAATATATCATCTATTAATTCAATAAAAGGGAGAAATAATAATTTATAAAGTAAAAAATTGACAAACAAAAAAATAACCTACTCAAAAATAGAATAGGATATGTCTGTACAAAGTTATGCCAAAACTAAAGAAACATGCAAATTTATTGAAAAAAAACACTGCCTAGAATGGCACAGATCTAAGAATAGACCTATGTTACTTTACAAAAGATCTTGGCTTACATGTGAGTTAAAACAGTAAAACAAGTTAGCATTCACCGACAAGAACTCCTGACATTGGAAAGGGAAACATATGAAATATCTTACTTTCTTTGCAAATCCTAAAAAAACCCAACAAATGAAAACTATATAATCAAGGAAATCTTTAAAATTATCTATGGCATACTAACATGTGAAAGCACTCAGGATCCGTTGGATTAATAGGGGGTATACATCTGTTGATGACCCCAACAGCCCCACTAATTGCTGCATCAACAAAGTCAGAAGTCACTTTGTAGAGAGCCCTATCGCGCAAAATCCTGCAATAAAATAATCTCATGAGAAATTGGCAAACAGAAAACAGAATGGAAAGCATCCTAGATACAAAGTATATAAAGAGATGGAATTCTGACTAGTCCGGAGATCATACATACCTTTCCTGAGGATTTGTGTGGGGAAATTCCCGACAAGATTGCAGTTCCTCATTCCAATCTCTTTGCATGCCGATTAACTCACTACCATATGAAAGAGTTAATGCATCCTCCGCTCTGGCTGCATCACGCTTGTGATCTAGACAACAGTAGAAACCAAAAAAGGTTCAGCGAAACAAATTAAAATATAGCATCAAACCTTTATAAGCCAGCCAATTCAAATTCTACAATAGACCCAACTTCTCTTGCCTCAATTCTATCAGAGCAGGAACAGTTTTGATGAGAGAGACAGCATTGGCTAAAACCCCACATAAACACAAAAGTAAATTAACTTAATATCTGTCATTGAATATTCCAATCCAACATAAAATTGCTGTTTTCAAATAAGTGAAGCCCATACATAGCACCATTTCCACCAATCTCTATAGAGAGCAAAAATATAAGATTAAAAGAGAAGCTAGACGTATCCAAAGAAGTAGCATTTGAAACTATTGAGCTCCAAGTTGTAGAAAAAACCATACCAAGAATATGATTGAAGATGAAAAAGTGTTGGTCCAAACAGAGAAATACTTACCAGGAACAGGATATAGTCCCAGCCATGAGTTTGGTGGCAAGAGGGATTGAACATTTTCAAAAGGATGGGCAGAGGCCTTCTGCTCCATAACTTCACGGAAAGCTTCAAAACGTAAATGGAATAGGAAAATATTATTGGACAATGGCATAAGCATATCAAGCACTGAAACCATGTACAAATGTTTTAACCATGTTCTACTACCTTTTTTGAACTTTGAGCTAATTTTTTGCAGAAGTCCAACAAGTGTTGTTGCTTCAGAACTAGTTCTACTTGGCCTAGGGTCAAGTATGTTTCCAGTGCTTGAATTGATATAAAATGTCTTTGAACTTCCCGTGATACAGTATTTGTTACCCTCCAATGTTATTACATCCAAATAAATCAAATCTCCCACAAGCCTGTTTCCAACAACAATTTGTTCTTAGCTTGCTGATGCTTATTTTCTTAAAATAAGTTAGATAAAATAAAGCAGAGAAGAGAAACTGTAATTTACCTTCGATAACTTGGTGGAGGATTAAAGGATGAAAACACAATGCTCTCCACACATTTGATCTCTTTTGAAGAAGGTGATAGCAATTTGACTAATGAACCAGCAACATCCTCCATAAAACCCAGCCCATCGAGTTCTGAAACTTCAGTCTTTGCAACATCTAGATAACAAGTAAATAAACACAGTCAAGCTCATAGAACCATCTCTGCAATTAGTGTTAAGCATGAGGCTCCAATGACTAAACCTCCTGTTTTTGCAGCTTTATTTTGTCCTGTCTCGTGCAAAGCAAGCGATGTTGAGAGTGAAGTATGAAGTGTCGAAAGGGAAAGCAAATCCCTTGTACGATGAACATGAGCCCTGATAGATCTATCATCATAAGCCGCTGCCATAGTGATAATAATGTCATAGACTGCGAATACACCTTAAATTTGGAAAAAGTTAAAAAAAAATTTCTAGCATACCAGCAACCATCTCTAAGGTACAAGCACCAGTAGTGATGTCAGCTACTTGAGAAATTTCATTGTAATCTTCTAGATGATGAGTTGGACCATCCTTTATGTGGAGGAGTAAGTCATAGCACGTGAAGTAACATGTTTCAGGTGCATCAAGAAGGAATTGTTTTATGTCCATAACAGAATCTCCCGGATTCAACTGCAAATGCAAAAAATAAACAAACAATTGCCCAATTTAGCAGTTTTTCCTGGCTGGTTTCACAAAGAGCTAAAAGATGCCGGTAGTGAATGCATGACATATGTGTGGAGGGGGAAGTCAAAGTTAGAGGAGTGAAGAGTTCTCAAGTGACTCACTTGTAGCTCTAACTTGTCACCACCCAGTGTTTTGACAGAGACAGGATAAAGATGAAGCTCACCGACTGTAATATTTGCATGAACAGAGAAATTGAAAATGAGTCCTTTTTTTGGGAGGAGAATCATATTCAATATAGCTAGCTAAGTAATCAATATATATATATATATATATAACCAATCAATCAATCAATCAATGGCATTGAAAAGTAATGACCTTGCTTTGCAGAATTTTGGGTTTGAGGAAGGGTGGATTCTGGATTGCTTGGGTGCGAAACTCCATTGGGGTCATCTTTGGAGGAATCAGAAGCAGGGACGTTATCTTTGGGTTGCGAAGAAGAAGTTGTAGAATTGTGTAACCCTCTCCGATTCTTTGGCTTGTTAGATTTCCCCGCCATTAACACTACCTACCAACCCAATAAAATTCCAACAGCAGCATCAAATCAATTACACAGATTTAAAAAAAAAAAACAGTGAATAAAGATCGAAAGAAATCCGATACTTGAGAGAGTGAGAAAAATAAATGAAATCCAGCTGAATCATTTCTCCTCTTTTTTTTATATATATAAGATAATACTGTAATAATAATTTCTCGTTTTTCAAGTTCCAAACAAACGCACGCGCTATATTACCTGGAAGTCGAAGTCGGAGTCGGAGTCGGAGGAGAAATTGAACTACACTGTACTACGGCTGAGGTTTAATAGGGGAGGAACGGAGCAGAAGAACAGAGGCGGCGAAATTTCATCGTTCTTTCATACCTCTGGCATTGGACTTATTTCAACCAGAACCCAAGCCTCTTGTGATTGGGCTTAATCATGGGCTTCAGTCTGGGCTTAATCCCCCCCCCTTTTTTTTTTAACTTAAACATTGAAGTCATTCAATTTATTTCACAACGGAGCGCGAGTCCAAATCAGGAAAAATTCTGTTGTATCCGGGGATACCGCTGACGTGGTATCTCCGGCAATCATAACATCTCACATTTATCATTTGTATTATTGAGTAAGCTAACATGACTAATAAGGTGAAGAAATTTTTTATGATGTAACATGTTGTGGTTGATCGGGAAACCGTCAACGGATCTGCAGGATACAGTAAACTTTCTTTCAAATTAGAGCATATTAACTCTTAACAAATGATGGGTATTGAACCCAATAAATTGAACATTTTTTTTATCTTAATTTACACAATAAGAATCAATTATTATACCTATTCACATGCACATAAGTCAATGAAAAATTTTTTATCATTAAATTACTTAAATAATTGATGAAATTATAAAGTGTACTGAGAACCACAACTATCTCAAATAATGAACAACTATTAAAATTCAAATATGCATCTTTAGGTTTCACATTTTTTTTATTCCTATTTTCTTTGCTCAGAAGCTGCATTTTAATTGTTTCCTTCAGTACTTAAAAATTTTTCTGTCTTTTATTCAGTTAAAAAATTTTTTTTTTTTTTTTTTTTTTTTTCTGTCTTTTATAGTTGTTAGCTCCCATAGCTTGGGGTGCAGGATGAACAAGAGCTTGCAGTAGTACTTAATCTGCAAGGAAATAAAAAGGGAACCGTGAAAATCTCTAATATTCAACATCAGGCATTTTTCTCCTAACAAAAAGAATTGCAACAAAATTTCAAGGTTATTGGGGGTGGAAAATTAATAGCTAGTTTTAGTTTGCATACAGTAATAATTAGGCTATATATATATATATATTAACAGTATATAATGTCCTTATGGAACGAATTTCATTGGCAGGTGGAAAATTAATGGTTTAAGTTATATATGAAGTCTTTTTTGTTTATTTATTTACTTGTTTTAATTAGTTGATGTTAAAGCATTATTATGTCACCAATTTTGAGAAGCTCAAGTCATGAAATTTTGGTTTTATACCTGTTTCATCAGTGCACGAAGTGTATGTTTGAGCTAGTTTTGTTGATGAAAATCAGAGTTGGCATAGAAATGGCATGACGAGTATGATGTGTGCTTAGGACGGAGGTGCATAATGGCATGTTCTGGTTTCTATATATTGACATATATCTTCCCTTCGGAAGAATTCCAAAGAAGAGAACAGAAATTGAGTTGAAAAAATAATTCTTTTTTCAAAAATGAAACTATATAATTACTCGAAGGCACTTCCAATATTTCCAATATTATTATTGGTCTTTGTGTTGCTCCTGACAGGTTTGGCGAAGCGAGGGGAAGGCAGTGGTTGCAGCAGCACATTCTTCTCAGCACTTGTTGAGATGATACCTTGTAGGGCAGCAGTTGCTCCATTCAGCCCCATCTCGCCAAGTGAGGCCTGCTGTGATGCTGTCAAAACTCTGGGGCAGGCTTGTTTGTGTGTACTAGTAAATGGACCTCCCATTTCTGGTGTTGATCGCAACATGGCTTTGCAGCTTCCTGGAAAATGCAGTGCCAACTTTGATCCATGTAATTTTGACTAGCCGCCTCCCACCTGAGATAAATTTCCGTGCTTAATTCAACAAAACTGATTAGTTTTTTCCCTGATGCAGGTGAGGTTATGAAGTAGAAGAGATGCATACCTACAACTTTGCCTACAACAGGAATGGTAGCCGCTTTTAGTTGAAATAAAAGGATGAAATTAAGCTGGAATTATGTCCCCTCAGTCGTAATTTATTGCTTTTACTTGGTTAAGATTTCAAAACTTCTTTCTAATAATAATAATAATTATTATATATAATAAGAAAATAATAATGAATATTAATTAAAGTTTTTTAATTCTCCAAGCATTGTCCAATGCATTTGACTTGAACCCCTAATAAGCCAATAAATGTATGATCATCAATTGTCAATGACTTTAATTAAAGAAAATCAGTACTCCTACATACACATGGTGACAACTCAGGGAACGACACAGGTAGCACAAATCTCAAAAAAAATCTAATATCTAACTAAATAGTTCAAAGTCGCCCCCCATAGTTGAACAAATATTCAAGACGTGAGCTCTGCGTCTCGCCCGCCATCCCCTTTTGAAGACAGCTGCCTAGTCTAGTCTTAGGAAGCTTCGAGTTCATGAGCACCCCATGGGGGGACTACTGGAGATTCATGAACAAAATTGGCATGATGAAATTGCTTTCAACGCGACGCGACAGATTGAAAGATCCATCGTGAGTAGTGGCCGGCGTTAGGAAATTTCAGCGTTTCTTGGTAAGATAATTGACAGTGGTAGGCAATAAGTCAGGTTGTGGACATGAGTGTTGTGCTTTTACATATGAAGCTTAAGAACAACATTATTTGCAGGCCAGTCTGTGTATATATATATATTAGAAAATGAGCAATAGACTCTCTGATTTAACTTTTTTTTTAAAATATAATTGTAGTTAATTTATTTGATTTTTATATATAATTATTGACTATTTTTAATTTTATGTAAGAATTAAAGTAATTTTTTAATAATATATTATATAATATGTTAAATAAAAAATATATTAATTAATGTTTTAAAAAATAAAAAGAATCCCTTATTAAGTTGTGTTAATTAATATTAGTTTTTCATTAAAAAAATCATTAATTGTTTAATTCCAAGATTCTGCTTGATTCACATATTTGGAACAATTAACCACATTCTCCATTCTATTTTTAAATGCTCTTCTACTTTATATAAATTCACAAACTCACAAATTGAAGAAGGCAAAGGCACTTCTAAGTACAATTTCATGGCATTTTTAATCTTATCTTCTCATTTTTGTTTTTGGGTAGTAGCTAGCCTCTCATCTTTCTTCCATCTATATAGTAACTATATACATTTTTACTGAATACATGCTGAAGACGTAATCGATCTTGTGATTGAAACTCGTTTGCATACTCAACAGTCTCTCAAATCGCTAAGCTTTGTTTATTTTATGAAGAAAAAGAAAGAGGCGATGACATAATCATATCGCTGGTGTGTTCTTCAGCTAAGTAATGAGAATTGCAAAGACAGACGGATCAGGGATAAGGGTTTCGTCCAAAGACATACAAGGAATTGTCATCACATCATGGTGGC